GATATTTGTTGTTGTGTTATAATAAGGGTAAATTAGACAAATAACATCATACTTTTTAGAGAAATTGCCTTCAGAATTATAAATTGTCTATATGTGTTATGACATTCTAATAAAGTGTCAGTATGTGTAATTTTCCCAATTAAAAGTCTCATTTTCCAACAAATTAATGCTTAATACTACTTGATGTTAAGAAAATTTACACATTTTTTGTTTTCCCCAAATCCTTACAATAATAGTAAACGGTGTTTAACAATATGGGTTTCAGTTAAGGTTTTTTAATAGAAAATAGTATACCTAAACTAAAACACAGTTTTTGAAGAGTAAATTTGTAAACTGACAAAAAAGAAGTTAATTAGGATATTGACATTAAATTTTTAGTTTTAGGTATTTGACAAAGGGAGAATTAAAGATATAAGCTAAATTTTATAGGAAAATTAATAAAACAGGCCAACATTTTAAAAATTAAAAAAAAATATATATATTTTTAATGTGTGAAATTACGATTGAACCATCCTCTATATATTAATTGAGGAGACATTTGGTGAAAAAAATCCTATGTGTCACTCAATGAGAATTTTAAGAGATATATCAATTAAATTAACCAATCAAAATATCTCAATTAAGTATATATGTCATGTTGGAAATCTCTACATATTTACATTATTTTTTCAACATGAACTCACAAATACATGTGTTACACATATAAATACAACTAAAATATAACATTTTAAAATTTTATATAACAAAATGTTTTAACGATGAATCATTACCGCTATCAATTACTTTATAAAAATTGTAAATATGTCTATTTGGATACCATATGTGATTGATCATACAATTAAATTATTTTCTAACGCTTAATCCATATTATTCTAATTAAAGTTATGCTTTTGTTATAAACGTACAACTTTACAAATCAAACTTTAATGCTTGAATTCTAAAAAATATATCATTTTCACTTTTTATTATTTCAATGATTTTTTATTTGATAAACTTTTTACATATTTATGCGATATTTGTTTTGGTATTGGAAATCTCAAATAAGTTTGAAAGAAACAATAATCTCAAATCTATTCGATTTACATTAAAAACGCTTCGAAAATGCTTAAAAACGCTTACATTTAATCTAAGTGTCCTACAAATTAAATTTGTAAGATAAAATATATTTATCTATATGGAAGACATATCATTTGATATTTGTTATTTGTAATATCTCCTGTGTATTATAAAAAAACATGAATTTATTTTTCGAATATTCTAATCCCGCGTACGCGGGACAAAATTCTAGTTCTGAAATTAATTACTAAAAATCTTATACATTTTTAAAAAAGATAGTTAAATTAAAAAAAATTAATAGAGAAAACTAAAAAAAATTATGTTTGTCTCATCGATCGATCCTCAAGCTAACCATAAACCCGACTTTCTTTCATGAGGTTACAACAATCTTAAACTCGTTTTCAGCCATGGAAGGTGAATGGCAAAGATTTGCTATGTTCTAAAGGTGTTCTAATGAGTACAGAGGTTCGTGTTGGTGGTCCGACAAATCCTCTTCTAACAGATAGTGGTGAGACCACCATCATTTTCAAACCTAATGGTTCCTCTGGCGATTTCCTGTCATCTTCACTTCGTCAATGGCAGAATCGTGGATCCAATTCCTATCGTCGGCTCATTGTCGCGTTTTATACCATAGCTACCATGGATGATAGGTATGAATCTAGATTTGTTTTGATGAAATTTAATTTCAAGTCAATTACGTAGCAATTTCAAGTTTTAGCTTAAAATTTGAGAGTTTGAGAATTATGGTTTCTAGAAAAACTTGATGTAGATGAATTTTGTAATGAATCATGTTTGCATCTTGATTTGTTTCGCTTTCAGTTATAATGTTTTTTTGTGTTGTCTTTCGATTTGGGTATCAGACAACTTCATGCTCATGTTGTTTTTCGAACTTTGATTGCTTGGTGGAATCGAGAGGGTCATCACCGAGTTATGAATTTAGATTTGGTGAAACGTGGATGTTTTAAATTAGAATTTCAGTTTTTATGTCCTCGTTGAAGGTTTTTGTTTTTCATTGTAATTCCTCCTTGTTTGTATACAATTGACTAACTTCAAAGTTCATATCCTTAAAAGATATACGGCTGATGTTATCATGATCTTCATTATGATGACCGTGAACGACGAGATCTCAAATATCACCACGAGTGAAAAATAACTCATCATCATAATTTTTATTATGAATAATTTTCCGTTTGACAAAAGAGTATTCATAAAAATATGTCGATAAGTTTCTTTTTCGGCTGTGGGAATGGAGAAGAAAAACAAATTAATGAAAAGGAATTGCATTGAATGCAATTTTTATTAATTTCATCATTTCATAAAATTACATAAATATAACATAATTTACATGAACTCTAAGATCTTTAAACATCTAGGTTAATCACATAATAGAATCTATGAGGAGGGTTTAGTGAATTACTTTCGTTCATTGTAGTAGAGAGGTCTTCTTGGAAGGTTTCCTGAATGGAAGATGGAAAGTCTGACTCTGAGATAAGAATTATGTTTCTCTCTGTTTGCCTATAAACTTATATTTATGTGTTGTGTATTAGGGTGCTTTTATGATAGACTAAATGCATATATTTATAGATGGATAGAGGACCTAATTTCTCTTTAGAGTTTCTTTATGATTAATCTCAACCGTCCATCGAAGTAGAGATATCTATTAGAAATTAACTCCATTATTTCTAATTTAATTGGTCACCAAATATGTTATGGAATAACATTATTCCAATAGAATATGGATCATTATAATACCACATAATATAAAAAAGAAATATTATTAAATATTCCTCACAATCTCCCACGTGGTCATTAATAAGATCCATTAATGTTTTCTTGAATTATTTATAAAGCCGACATAATATATTATTTTTTATTATTCATTTGGTCATCAGAAGTGTCTTGACTAATTTAGTAATCAATGAGAATCATGGCGGTTGCACGTCATTCTACAACATAATCCCTTCCATGTACTACGACATTTACTACCTCGTAGCTAGACCATAAGCATAAGTAGGAATTATCATAATGGTCCCTTTTATGTATTAAAATAAAGCATATTGTTATCATAAATCCAATAACCAATAATGTGTGTGCACGT